TCTTGGGCTTAAGCGATTCTCTTGCCTCAGTCTCCCAAGTAGCTAGGACTACAGGCGCCTGCCACAGTGCCCAGCTATTTTTAGAGACAAGATCTTACTCTGGTTCAGGCTAGTTTGGAATCTGTGATCTAAGGCAATCCACATGCCTTGGCCTCCCAGAGTGCTAGGAATACACGCACTAGTCACTGCTCCTGGCCAGTTTTCTATTTTTTTTTTCTTTTTTTTTTAGAGGCAGAGTTTTACTTTGTTGCCCTCAGTAGAGTGCTGTGGTGTCACAGCTTACAGCAACCTCCAGCTCTTAGGCTTAGGCGATTCTCTTGGCTTAGCCTCCGAGTAGCTGGGACTACAGGCACCCCCCACAATGCCTGGCTATTTTTTTGTTGCAGTTTGGCCAGGGCCAGGTTCAAACCCACCACCCTTGGTGTATGGGGCTAGTGCCCTACTCACTGAGCCACATATGCCACCCAGTTTTCTATTTTTTTTAGTAGAGATAGGGTCTCTTGTTGAGGCTGGTCTTGAACTCCCACCTTGGCCTCCCAGAGTACTAGAAGTAAAGGTGTGAGCCACCATGCCCAGCCACCACTTCTGGTATTCACTAATTGTAAGGTTTGGAATAAGTGTTTTTCCCTTTTGTTAATTGCAAAGTGAATGAAGGGTTAGGAGAGTGTGAGGTTGAGTTCATTTCATCAAGGTTGCCAGATCTTCAGAAAGCAGGATTTTTCTTTCTAAATTCACACAAGAGGCTCGGCGCCTATGGCTCAAGTGGCTAAGGCGCCAGCCACATACACCTAAGGTAGCGGGTTTGAATCCCCAGCCTGGGCCTGCCAAACAACAGTGATGGCTGCAACCAAAAAATGGCCAGGCGTTGTGGCAGGTGCCTGTAGTCCCAGCTACTTGGAAGGCTGAGGCAGGAAACTCGCTTGAACCCAGGAGTTGGAGGTTACTGTGAGCTGTGATGCTATGGCACTCTACCTAGAGGGATAGCTTGAGGCTCTGTCTAAAAATAAATAAATAAATAAATAAATAATAAATTCACACAAGAATGCATAGAGGGGTGGCGCCTGTGGCTTAATGAGTAGGGCGCTGGCACCATGTACCAAGGGTGGCAGGTTTGAACCTGGCTCCAGCCAAACTGCAACAACAAGAAAAATAGCTAGAAAAAGAGAACAAAAAACAAAAAAAATAGCTGGGTGTTGTGGCGGGCACTTGTAATCCCAGCTACTTGGAAGGCTAAGGCAGGATAATCACTTAAGCCTAAGAGCTGGAGTTGCTGGGAGCTGTGACGCCACGGTACCCTACCAAGGGTGACAAAGTGAGACTCTGTCTCAAAAACAAAAAAGCATAGAGCCAGAATACAACTTTATTCATTTACATTGTGAAGTAATTCCTTAAGAGATAATTCAGTATAGCTTGAGTAGGTTGGTAGTCATGCTTATTCACTATAGGAAAGCTGACCAGGGGCTTTCTTTAGCTGTTCTGGGCTAGTGTCATCTGCATAATGCTGAAAGCACTAAGTTCCACTCCAAATCCACTTAATTCCAATTACATCATCTTTTTCTCACATATTCAACACACACATAAACACATTTCAAAGTTCAGTCCATTATTTGGGGAGCTTTTGGGGGGTTACTAATACAGTCATCATTTTTTTGGCCAAGTTTATCTATTCTCAGTGAATTTTTCCTTATATAGGAGTGATGACCAAATTTTGGCTTTCTACACATGAAGACACTAAAAACTTGTTTTTTGCATTTAAAGCTTCAGATAACTTTAAATGGTCTTTAGTAGTTTTGTCATTTCACAGTGCTGTATTTTTGGGAGTTACTCATGCTATGGTAGGTGGTGCATTAATCAAGATTTCTGAATTCTGTGCCTATTTTTGTCTTGTAATTGTTAGAACCGTGAACAAGTCAAGGCACCTCTTTCTGCCACACCCTTAATGTCAGTGATTTTTAAACTTTAGTGCTTAAGAATCATCTTTAAGCTTCTTATAAATGTAGATTTCTAGGCTCTACTGTTTCTTTTTTTTTTTCTGAGACAGAGTCTCACTATGTCACCCTCGGTAGAGTGCCATGGCGTCACAGCTCATAGCAACCTTAAACTTTTAGCTACAACACCTGGCTATTTTCTTGTTGTAGTTGTCACTGTTGTTTGGCAGGGGTGGGCCAGGTTTGAACCGTTCAGCTGAGCCAGTGAGCTATGGGCACCGAGCCTCTAGGCTCTACTGTTAAGAGATTCTGGCACAGGGCTGAAGTTGGGTCCAAGAGTTGAATAATATTGATTCAACCTTAAATAAATTTTAAGGGCCAGGTGCGGTGGCTTATGTCTGTAATTCTAGCACTCTGGGAGGCTGAGGCAAGTACATTGCCTGAGCTCACAGGTTCGAGACCTGCCTGAGCCAGAACAAGACCTTGTCTCTAAAAATAGCTGGACCTTGTGGCATGTGCTTATAGTCCCAGCTACTGGGGAGGCTGAGGCAAGAGAATCGCTTGAGCCCAAGACTTTGTGGTTGCTGTGAGTTCTCTACCAAGGGTGACAAGTGAGACTCTGTCTCAAAATAAAATAAAACTGCCTTTTATACCTTTTTTGTAGTATAGAAAGTTTCTATTGTTTATCTCACAGTAAAGTTGGTGAAGGGTAATTAGTATTCTAAATATATAATTTTGGAAATAATATAGTCTCTTCAACTAATATGTGAGTTGTTATACTTACATGTCTTTATGGAACTTGCCAGATTATGAATTTAATATGGATGTAGACTCTGAAATTTCTCTCTTGGATCTCATAACATCTCATGTGCTAGGTGTATTCCTAATACATGCTCTGATAAAAATGTGTTGCTTATTGCTA